TAGAGTTCTGTCCCTTTTATTTCACATGAAGGTCTTTAACACTTGGAAGTATACCAATGGCATGGAAGAGAACTTTTGGGTTATAATCAAGAGGAAACATAAATAAATGTTTGTTGCAGGCATCACTCAGATTGCTGTTTGGAAGCAATGCACATCTAAAGCAGCAGTTCCCAAACTCTGATCTTGAAGACCCAAGATAAATGATTATGGAGCCCTAAATCCAAGTGGGATGGATGACTCCTTCTGGGGCTGTGGAACAGCACTGCAGCTGTTCCTCGGGCATATAACCTAGAAAGTGAGGTTGATCCCTCAGTACAGAACAGTTTTTGCGTAAGAAACTGCTGCTTGCAAAGTGATTCACAAAAAAAGCCTGAGAAAAGTCATATCAAACCTAAAATGCAGTAATCAATGAAACAAGGGCACCACATACTAAGTCATGCCATACACTGAAAACACTAACAACTGCTAAACAGCATGTGCACCGCTGAAGGAAAAAAAATTAACTGCACTGAAGAGCTATGAGGCATTGAACACAAAGCACAGAAAGGATCCTCAGAACAAATCAGTTTGATCCACTTTTGGTGGAAGGTTAGTATATTATGCATGTGTTCAAAATAAAAATTAAGAAATAAAATATTGACATTTCTCTCCGAGAAAAACACTTCAAAATAAATGTCTTTTTCTTTCAATTTGCAGTATTTATATGAGAAAGCTGAAGTGCTGGCTGGTCTTCTCTGCACTGACAGTATTGACTGTGTAGTTTTCTGTTTGGAGCCCTTCTCTTCTTTGAGGTTTTCTGTTTCAGAGCTGAAGAGCTCTTAATGTATTTTAGTTCCCAAGAGTTGCTAGAGATACTAGTTCTGTTACCAAACTTGGTTTGAGGGAAAGGTATTTTTGTCTGCTTTAACATCATATACTGATTTTTGTAATTGCAACATGTAACTTGAACCTTTTTTTTTTAATGCTTAAACCCTCCATGCTGTTATATTTTAATACTATAGTCACTCAGTCTAATTGATATATATATATATATATACACAAAAATAATTGTCATGTGGAATTACACCATTAAATGATAGAGAGCAAGGATAGAGACTCCTGTACTTTTTCCTAAATCTTACTAATTAATGTTTGTCATCTACTTTTGATAAGAAAAGGTATGAGTGAATTGAGATGTTAGTACTTCCTCACCACCTATAAACTGCATCCATAGCAAAAATCTTGCAGAATTTAGCTATTGGTATGCACTTAGAGAAAGCATATATGTGATGATTAGATGGACATAAAGATGTAGAACCATTTTTAAAAAGTTCTAAGATTGCTCCTGAAGTTTGAAGATGGACAATGTTTTTCTCCCCAAAGTTTAATTCTTCTCAATGTGCATATAAAGGATCAAATTTCACCTGGAATTGGGACTGTGTATCTACTAACAAATATCCCAAGGACTGTCCCCTGGCACAGAGGCCAACTTGCAAAGGTTTGCATCCACATTGTTTACCTTTTAATCTCCAGAACAGGCTGGTCACGTCCAAGTGCCCACCAGAAACGGTACCTTGCCAATTCCTGAATTGTGCACAGGCCAAAGCTTGTGCCAGCAACTGTTCTACCAATTAACTGTACAGATGACTGAGCTACAATCCCCCAGAAAATTTCCTGCCACTGTTGACACAGATGTAGTGTGATTGGCTTAATGTTAAAAGCTTTTAATGTATTGATTTTTGTCTCTTTTTAGTCAACAATGCAATTCATTCAACCTTTCTTAAAATACCTTTTTATATAAAACAACATATAGACAGACAAAAACTTCTGGCACGAGGTCAAAAGTTTTCTCACTAAAATACATTGAGATGCAGCTGACAACTCATGGCATTATGGCTACTGAAGCAAGTTCACAGCAGGGACAAGAAAAATATGTAGAATTCTATGATGTTTAGCTTTGGGAGCATATTGAGTACCATGCTAGCAAAGCTGAAGCATGGTCTCCACAAGTAAAAACAAACACAGTTAACGTGCTTTGTCAAATGTTCTTCTTCTCTTGATAATCCAATACAAAACAAGGCTGAAAACACTTTTTGTTTTTGTTTTTTAACGCCTATGGCTTTTGATGCAAGCTTGCAATAGAGTAATAATCATCAGGAAAAACCCAGAGTTAAAGGCATTTTTTCCCCTTTTTTGTCTCTTCTCCAGGTATGAAGATGTAGCATAGTAATGCCTTGAGTAACCTTTGTACAACATGCCTGAAGAGTCATTAAAACTTAAGGATAGTCAAGACCAGGGCAAGCCAAAAGCTTGTGCAACTAACAGCAGAATTTGATCTGTGAATTGAGCATGAACAGCAGCAATGGATAAACAGAAAGTGCTTTAGAGTTGAGATGGAGTTTGCAGAATGGATGTGTGAATTTCCACCCCCCATCTTGAATTTACTGTAGATGTTTATGTTGTGTTTATGTATGTTTATGTTTGTTAAGATTATGTTGTGGGGATAATTAACACAGACACATCTTCTGTTAATACCAGTGGTAGTTCTTCCAAGACTGAAAAGTAAAGATGACATTTGCTCAATATGCACATAGCTGACATGACTATGTATTTTATCATTTCACTCTCCAGGTAACTTTAGTTTCACTTGGCTCCTTCATGTCTTCCATGTGCTTTTAAGACTAGTTCAAGCTACAGATTAGAAATCTGTAATTAATGCTAAGCTCTAAACCACTATTTGAATAATAATTTCTCTAAATAATGGCTCCCAGGTTGGAGGGTTTGAACTTGGTGACTTATCTTGGAAATAAGGTACCTGAATTTTGCATAATACTATTTTTAGTATCAGGATGTTGTGAAGTACTAAGTCTTTCACAAAACTAGTATAATAATAATAATTTTCATTTCCAGTAGTTATCTTTATTTCTCAATATTTGGAAAAATTCAGTAAATAATTTTTAATTTGCCTATTCTGTTAATTCAATTACATATAATCAAGTGAATTAAGTCATATGACACATATTGGTAGCTAAGTATTGTAGCATCTTTGGATGGAACACAATACTCTTCCAAGTAAGCCTACACTTCTTTTTTGTCTTGTACAACTCTCACAGATTTGCCCAAAAGGTCAGTCTTTACTTTCATATCCTTTTTCCTCTCACTGTAGCAACTGAAGTCACTTAAACTGTACAGTCAACACTTTTGCTCAAGGCATACTGAAGACAGAGAACATACTTCATGTTCTACTTGAGCTTCTGATGTTTCTAATTTACTGGAATTATACCAGTAAAGGTAAGTACATACATTTTAAAGCATTTCAGTAAATATATAAATTTTAAAGCATTTCAGGATCATCTATGATTTCAGAACCTGTGTCACTTTTTAAAATATGAGATTTAACATGTCTTTTGCAATCTCCATCTTTTGTAAATTCTAAAGCAACCTGCTGCTAACCATTTATTTGTTCACCCAATACATTATCTACTTGACATGTTTGCAGTCTAGGCTGCTATTTAAGAATATGCACAAGGAAAAGTTTCTACTACTTGGAAGCCACACCCTGACTCCAGTCCAAGAGAGCCCACTGTCCTTAAGGGGTAACCAGAGATAAACAAGCACTGACTACCTCCTTGATGTGAGAAGATAGAAAATTACAGGGAAAAGAGGCAAAAAGGAGGACTCTGCATAAAGAAGGTAGAGAAGCTACATGGGGGAAATAGTAGAATTGGAACTGGCAGCCATTAAAAGGAAAGGAACAGAATAAAGGCAGCAACTTAAGGAAACAGAAAGCAAGAGCAGGATCAGGTACATGGACACTGTATACTGGTAAACTAGGGGCAAAGAAATAATTATTTGGGGTTGGAAAAAAATTAAAAACAGAAAAATGCTGGAATAAATCTTGAATCTTAAGTAAGTAATTCAGATTTGCAAGAGCAATTTATCCAAGTTCAAAAATGCACGTGGTGAATAGAAGAAATCCAAAGCATTACTGTGGGTTTTATATTACTGTACCTTCACATTACTATTACCTTTGAAGGGATTGAGACAATTTTTTTCTTCAACTTCAGAGCATAACAATTATCTAGATTCAACATGAACGACAACCTTCTACCATTAGCTGGCAAGACGACCCACAGTTCTTCATCTCCAAGATCCTAGTGGGTTTTTGTTGGTTTTTGTTTGTTTGGGTTTTTTTAAACCAAACCAACTCTCCCCCCCGCAACCTTCTTGCATCACTTCTGATGAGCACATGTGCAGTATATGAGTAGTTTCATTTAAGATCAAATGAGGTAAAAGGCACCAATAGAACATTCTTTAAAGAGAGCCAGACTAGTAGCTTATCTTAGGTAAACATACTGCCACACAGGAGAACAAACTATTTATATTTGCAAGGCAGGCAAATGGACATACTACGAAAAAGACTGAAAAAAAAAATCTAGGAAAAACTATGCAAATACCTTTGTCCTTGTGTACCCTCTAGTGGCTGTGCAAGGTTACGAAGGCCTCGCACTAACAGAACTGAGCAGGCCATTTCCTCAGGACAAACAGAGTGCTTACCTCTGCAATAGTTCTCTTAAAGAGACAGTCATGAGATCAGGGTTCTGAGCAGGCAAAAGTATGGGTTATTTGAAGTGTTTAGGCTTACAACCAATCCTGCCTTGTTAACTTAATCCAATAAATCCAGGTTTCCCACTTAAAAGGTTGAAAAACATATCAAGCTATTCCAGTAAGAAGCATTTGGGGCATGTGCCTGTGTTACTGTGCCATGTACCCAGGCTGCATGTAAACTGCAGCAACATCAGAAAATTAAGCTATTTGTTTCCACTCTTAGAAGACTTCTGGAGAACTACCTGATAGACATGTTTCAGAGACCATATAAGAGCCACTTACACATGAAACAGCAACAAATGACTCAAGACTATCATACAAGCATGCTTTAAACTAGAACAGGCTGTCTTGCCTGTGATGAAGAAGAGGATTACATCAGGGACCAAAGCTGACATCCAGCATAAGAATACTCGGCAAGCAAACAGCTAACATTAGTTCAGCTTAAACAAACATAAAAGATTGTACAAGAGACACTTAAAATAAACTGACAGAAAACACCCCACACACTAAAACCCTCCAATACACAAAAGTTCCGTACTGTGATCAAGGTGCCAAGGGTGAAAAACAATCCTCTCCAGGGTGAAAAAAAATTCCTCCTTATGTTATGACTTAGCAAAAGAATGTAAAGTGTATTCTGTTTTGTAGATGGAACATGCAGCTGGTAAAACAGGAAAACAGCAGCCAAAAGTAGAATGTACAGAACAGGTTTTTAGCATCTCATATCTATTTCTTCATGAACTGAAGCTGCCACAGCAAGCTGCATCATTCAAACAATGAAGTTAGTCATTAAACTGTGTCAGAAGAAACACCCTGGTGCCTGCTGAAGTGTTCAGCCTTCAACAAATTGCTACACAATCTGGGTGAGGAAAGTATTTCTGAGGCCTATCATTATGTTGTGACATATACATGAGATACTTCCAACACAAAGAAGGCACAGGGTGAACTAATTAGATTATATACCAATACCTACATATTAATTATGAGAAAAAACATCAAAATACGTTCTTGAAATGACGTAATGCATATTCAAGATGAGTAAACGGGAACTTTTATCTTCAGTACAACATACAGGGCAACAGAACTGTCCAGTCAGTCCTCCAGACAAGTATGACAGTTTCCCTCTAGATACAGCAACTGCGAACTCGACAGCAAGACAACTTGCTCTACTCTTAGATGGCAGATGCAGATTTGTTTCTTACCTCAGATGTACATCAGAAAAATGCTACATGATCGGATATCCTAGGTAGCTCTTATTTTATGCTATTTATCTGCATCATTTTTATAAATGTACAGCCATGAGCAGAAATGCAAAAATCCTTCTTTCTGTGTGTTTACAGGTTGAGTTTAATAAAGTCAGTCCCTTTGCCATTTTTGAAGACAACACCTAAACAACTGTAATGCTTGTCATTCATCCCCATGCCTGAGTTTTGCAATAATGTAGCACAAGCTTGCCATCACTTCCAAAACACTGCAAGAAAAAGAGAAACCAAAACAAGAGCTGTTAGATTATTCATAGGCTAGCATATACATGAAGCAACAAATGAAGAAGCCCCTCACCAGATAACTGATTCATGGAATACTGTCACTGGTAACAAAGCTCTCCATCATAATGGGAGGCATGACAACATACTGCATGTGAAGGAATGTATTTCCAGAGACTGTATGAAGTCATGTCTCTTTAGATCATATTCATACAGATCTGTATGAATATGATCTACATTATATTAAATGGAAGATATTACCACAATAGCTAGGAGCAGTAACAGATTTCAAGTGCCAGAAGTATAGTGACAAATTCTGCTTAGCACATTTGGAAAGGATATTTAAGATGAAAGTCACCTCATAGAGGGTCCCAACTTCTTGGTCTGGAGATGGAGCAAAAGACTGGTTTACGTATATGAACTGCAAGAAAAAACAAAAGATAGATCTCCCATAGATCTCATGGATAACAGATAACATAGAGGAAACATTCTGCAGTCAGAGGTGGGTAAATCTGTCCTCTGTTCACCATCTGTTTTATAACCTTTGTAGCCCACAATACCACAAATCAGTATTTTCACTTCATTGTGGACAGACAACATGACTTCAAGGAGTCATCTGACTGACCAATCAGACCAACCCAAAGCAAGCACAGAATCACAGAATCATTCAGGTTGGAAAACACCCTTGGGACTGAGTCCAACTCTCAGCCTGACTCTACAAAGTTCTCCCCTACACCACATCCCCCAGCATCTCATCTAAATGACCCTTTAACAAATCCAGGGATGGTGACTCCACCACCTCCCTGGGTAGCCTATTCCACTGTCTGATCACTCTTTCTGTGAAAAATTTTTTCCTAATGTCCAGTCTAGACCTCTCCTGTTGGGAGTTTAAAGCCATTCCCTCTTGTTCTGTCACTAATCATATGTGAGAAAAGACCAGCACCAACCTCTCTACAATGTCCTTTCAGGGAGTTGTAGAGAGTGATGAGGTCTCCCCTCAGCCTTCTCCTCCGCAATCTAAACAGTCCCAGCTCCTTCAATTGCTCCTCAGCACACTGAAGCATGCTGACTTCTGTCTCCTGCAAATTGACCCATTAGTCCCCCATACAGCAGCAAAAAGTAAACTCACTGGTTTAGTTCTTACTCTTATTTCAAGTTTCCAAACCATTCCCAAAATTCCAAATTTGCTCAATGAGAACAGCAGTCACATAAATTAGAATTATTTTGTTCTTTTTCAAAGTTTTCTTTTTCACATCCTGCTGCAAACGTATATGTGCATATAGTAGCTAATCTATAATGTCAAAGAGGGGCTTGGTATCTGCAGTGCAAGATGGCAGTGTGTAGTAGGGCATCATGTGCTATTCCCAAAGAAGAATTATAAAATTCCTAGGGCTTTGCTCCTAAAGTATAGCCTTAAGCTTAAATCACACTGGAAGACTCCATGCTCCCCCCCTCCCTTTTTTTTTTTTTTTTTAGCTGAGACAATGAGATGGCAGTTGATCAGTTAAACTGTTGAGAATATCCATGAACAGTAAATACCTGAACTATTACTCTACTTTGAGATATTGAGCCTTGGGAAAAAGAAAGCCTTCATGATTTCCAGGTGAAAGAGACAGCTAGTGAAACCATTTACACCTATATGCTTGAACAAGAGCCTCCACACAAAGAGCACCATGATTTCACCTATACTTTACCTGCAAATTTGATTATTTTTACGAGTCTAGCTTTAAATTTATACCTTAAATGAAAACTTTGAAGTGTATGGATGTTAAGAGTTTATCGCTAATTGCAAAATAAGTACAATCATATTTCTGAAACTGTTCCAGCTCTTCCAGCGTTATCAGAAGGCCACTTGGGCCTCACAGGAAGGATCACCAGCAATGTGCTGCCAAACTGCAAACGTTTCTAAGCTACCCATTTTAAAAGTACTGTACTATGACGGTAATTAAACTGTTTGAGAAGAAGAAAGCTGTACTGGGTCTGGCTGAGCCAGAATTGGTTTTCCCCTATAGCAGCCCCCATGGTGCTGTGGTTTATGCTGGGAGCTGGCAGGGTGTTGGTAGCACCCTGGTGTTGTGGCTACTGCTGAGTGGTGCTTACACAGCACCAAGGCTCTTTCTGACATTTCCCCCCCTCAGTGGGACAGGGTGGGCAAGATCTTGGGAGGGGACACAGCCAGGACAGCTGACCCGAACTGACCAAAGGGATATTCCAGACCATATGACGTCTGCTCAGGATAAAGCTGGGAGAAAGGAGGAAGGGGGTGGGGTCACCCTTGGTCCTCCAAGGCAACAACTACCTGTACTGGAGCCCTGCTTCCTGAGAAGGCCCGACATTGCCTGTTAATGGGAAGTAAAGAATAAATCTGTTTTCTCTTTGCTTCTGTGCACAGACCTTTAAGTAACTTTGCTTATATTAAAACTGCTTTTGTTTTACCCATAAGGGTTGTTCTTTTTCCCCATCTTATTTTCTTCCCCCTTTTTGCCCTGTTGAGAAAAAAAGATGGAAGGGTGGAAGTAACAGAGGGGCCTGTGGGTACTGGCATTTAGCCAAAGTCAAACCACCACAGAAGCAGACACCAATATTCAGAAAGTCAACCCCAAACACTTCATACTTTTTCCCAAATACTCCTTCCATATATTTGACTTACACAGTTATGCTGGCATACAAAGCCTTCACTGAAATGCCCTGCTGCACAACATGCACACAGCTCTACACGGCAGCATCAGACATGAAAATGGAGACACTGCAAAAAAACCCAAAGGTTGGAGCTGAGAACCCAAGCACATCCAAACTGCACTGCTACAGCTCATCTCAATATTACACTGTGGTATGTACGCTGAACAGACTTACTGGTGCTCCTACATACACCAAATTTCCTTCTGAAAGCCGTAGTATAGAGTCAAACAATCTCCTGCAAGCTGTGACAGCTTGAACCCAGGGTGAGCGGGGCTCCCTGCCATGGCTGGCTCCCTGCTTCCCCCACGACGCATAGGGCACGCCGGGCCTGGCCGTGTCGCCAGGTGCCTGCCCCTACCAGCTGCTCGGAGGCCATCAGCTTGAGGAACTTCTTGATGAAGTCAACGAGGCCCTGGATGGTCCGGGTCCGCTCCACTGCCCACTTCTTGGTCTTCATGATGGGCGTGTCGCCCACGGCTTTCAGCAGGACGTCAACTGCGGGGGAGGGACGCGCGTTAACACCCCCGGCCGCGGTCCCCGCCCCCGCCTCCTCATTGGCCAGAAGCACCAGCTCCCACCACCGACTGGCCAGTGCACCTGCCCGTCGCCGCAC